CCAGGCTGACTTGGAGGGCGAGAGGGGTCTCTGAACAAGGGTGGAGGGGCACTTGGAGACACCCACCCCCAGCCTGGGGAAATGCAGCCCACTGTCCTGATGAGCCAAAGCTAACAATGCTGTTCTTTGATTGCTCTTGTCCTGGATCTGGGTGAAGATGGCTTAAGTAACCCTGCCGCCTTACCTTACTCCTTGGGCCGCTCACAAACCTGACTGTCTTCCATACTTGGCATCCATCGGACCACCACCCCCTCCCAGGGAAAGTGCTGTAAAAAGAAAAAAGGGGGATGTTAGAGAGAAAAGAGGAAATAAAGTCTTTGGAAAGCAGAGAGTTTTACAACAGCCACAGGTTTTATGGAAGCAATTCCGTAATAACCTTCTACCTGCTTGGCTCCTTTCTGCCCCGCCTGCCGCCCACCCCGTTTGGTCTCCTGGATACCCCCTCCCAAGGAGTCAGCCTCTACCACCACCTTCAAAATCCCAATGGCTGAGAGTTGGTAAGAAGATCCCAAGGTCTGCTTGGGCCACTGACCTCTGCGTCATTCCTTTCACTTCTGACATTCTGGGAGGGAGGTTTGGCGGAAGATGTTTTTTACAATTGAGACCTCCATTCAGGAGGTTTGGGAGCACCAAGGGTTCAACCATGTGTGCAGATTCTCTATCTGGGGGTCCGTTTTGTGAAAGTTCTAGGGACCTTGGTTTCCTAGCCATGGAACAAGTGTCTCCATACCTCACTCTTTCTCAGAGTGGGCCTGCACTCTGATCTTGGGTCAGAAGAAATAACTCCTCAGGGTTCCTGAGAACTTTCAATTCTGTTGTACACTGTGGTGAGTTTGCTTACACAGTCATCAGAGGTCTCTCACACTCAGTTCCTTTCTGTCCACTTCTGCTCAACACTAGTGCAGAGCACACACATAGACAGAAATAGTGTCCCTACCCCCTTATGCCCATCACTACCATGAAATAAACATCCTATGCCACACACAGTTCTTGCAGTTTATGTAAGGATATGCAGGAATGGATTTAATCCCTGAACAACAACCAGAAAAAAAAAAAAATCATAAAATGTCATTACCTCCTGAGTTAATCTGAGACATTTCTTTCCCTTCCAGAGAAAGGTTTTAGAGGGACGTTGTAATAGAATTTGGATTTAATCACATGCATTTTTTGAGGATACAGTATATCAAGTCAGGGGGCAGATTTTCAAGGGAGGATCCCCAAACAGTTGATATTTTGTAGCTACAAATCAAGTACACAAATATACAAGTTTTTGCCCTTTCCATAGATGTATGATGGTTATAAAATGTACACATAAACGTATGGGTGATAGATCTTCTAATATTAGCAAAATTATAAACCCAAACCACACCCGCATCCACATACTCATGATTAGATCTTATATACAAACACTTAAGTATATTCAGTATTCTAATTGGGCACACATTTATTTCTTATATATTCTATACATAGTATAGAGCCCAGCACATTTACACACTGGATTCCCCATGAAGATATATGGATTTAAAATATACACACATCTATGCAAATACAGCATGTTCAGATTTCAGGTTGGTTTATTAATTAAAAACAAAGTCTCCCGTTTCCCATTTATTTTTTATTTCTTTTAATATTTTATTTTTCTTTCATTTCCTTCTCCCCCTTTAGATTTTTTCTCTTCTTCTTGAGTATTTATTGATTGACAAGGACCTTTCCAAAAGTCAGCCCTAAGGCACAAGTATTCACCGTACTCACGTACTCACCGCTTGGTTTCGGTTAGAGTCAGCTTCCGCGCGCTCCCAACCTTAGCCTGGCTGGCTGGCTCGCTCACTCACTCGCTCGTGGCTGTTCTGGGCCCCAGTGTGGTCAGGGGCTGCCGCATTTTCCTGCCTGTGTTCCCGGATCTACCAACCCCAACTGTACTCTGGCTCCTGTGCAGGAAATGGCAATTGCCTACCAGGGAAGGCAGGGTTCTCTTTCTCTCCATTTTAGGATTGGGGGTGGGGTGGGGAGCAGTGTTGCTTTCTCAGGACCAAGTTATCTCCACTGAAGACCCCTCCATTATGCAGCTTTAGAAACTGGGCTCCAGGACCCACAATCCTGTTTGCTCCTCTTTCTCATGATGGGTACCTTACCGTTGTCTGGGGAGAAAATAAGGTCTTGAGGGGCGTCCACAGGGCCTCAGAACACACAAGCAACGGGCCCCCTATCAGCTGACCCTTTAATTATTTGTCTGAGCAGGAGCTGAGCTCCAATTTGGGACAGCAACACTTTCTAGAAAGTCTGGCTGGGCTGTGACCCATGACTTCATTCATCCACACCCCTACATGAGGTTCAGACTCTAGGGCTTGAGGGGTGGTCAATTGATTTTCATTCCCCTACCTAAGAGTCACCTCTTCCCAGAAGACAGAGACTTCTAAACTCATTTAGAAAGTCTTCCCACTCTCTAGCATCATTGTGAGCAAAGTGGAAATTCTGGTCTCAGAAAAGAGGCCTGACTCCTTCTCCCAACATCCAGGGGCTCCCAAGGGCTACGGGTAACTCCCCAGGCAGTCAGCAGCCCACAAGCTCTGATCTCAAATGCCCTTCCTTCTCTTCCCTAAATGAAGTGGTCCTCTTGACTTCATTGTTGCAGAGACAGGCAGCAGAGAAGCCAGGAAAAGCACGGGATAGGAAGTAGGGAGGCCGCTGTTAGAGCCCAATGCTTGCCTATCCCTGATCCTTGAAGCCCAGCGTGGTGATTTTTCATAAATAATTTTTTTAAACCTAGCCCACAGTCCACACATCCTTTTGGGCCCTAATTTATATACTAAAGAAAATCATACATTCAGTCCGCCATGCTTCATAACACCGTTATTTATTGCAAGGGAAGGGATTTTTTTTTTTCCTACAGAATATATTATAGGTAAAGCCAACAGCAGATTCCAGCCGTCTGGCAAATGGAGAACAGGTGCTTTGCCTTAACTGTGATTCATTTGCTCTGTGCCCTGCTTTCTCGCTGGTGAGGCCGGGAGCTCCCCCGACTTTTCCAAGCGTCCAACTGCTACTTAGAATTTGCTTCCGATTCTTGTTTCCCCACTTGGGTCCCATGGAAAAAGCAGCTCTTCACGCTGTTTGGTTCCGGATCTGCCGGGCTGTCGCCCTTGGAGAGCTGGGGTAGAGAAGGAGGGGGCTGGCTGGGCGCCGGCATTGATCTTTAAAAAATCATTTTGAAATCGCCATAATGTGAAGAAATATGGCGCTTCGCCCTCGTATTTCACACATAATGACAAGAGATGGCTTCATTTGGAAAGAGAAGCGGGCGGGAATGTTTGTGCATGTGCGGAGGTGATCCCCAGTCTTCTGAATGGCCGAGGAGTAGGACCCAAAAGATGAAACCCCAAGTTGGAATGGGCCCTGCTTTGTTAAAAAGGACTGGGCTGGGGACAAGCCCATGCTCTGAGGGAAGACTGCCTTGTGACAATCCAGGGTCTCTGAACCACTCCTAAACCCAGCGGAACCCAGGCAGAACCGAGTGTGTCCAGGGGGTGTGCCTCCTCCCCATGGGCCCAGAGGCAGCTGCACTCGGGGAAGCGACGCTGGGAGGAGAGCCAGGAAGCCAGCATTGGCCCCCGGGGAATTTCAGTGCAGGGCCGCCTAGTAGATGCCAATAAAATGGGCTATTTGGCAGCTTCAGAGAGAGGTCCTTGGGAGGGAAGGCATAGGGAGGTCTAAAGACTGTGAACCAGCCTGCTCTGTGCCTACAGCCCCTTATTCAGGGCATTTGGAAAGTCGTTTCTTAGAAGTTACTTCGGAGAAGCCGCAACCCCCAACGCATTAGGGGCGAGATGAGCGGGAAAAGTCCGTTTTAGACTGTGTTCTCTGGAGGTGGGTGAATGTGGAGATCATTCGGGATCTCTCCCCATGCCTCCTCGCTAGTGACACCTCGGGGTGGCTCTCTTAAGCTTTTCTTGTGGCCAGCTCCACCGCGGGACAATTGTAGGGACCGAGGTGGCTACTCAATCCAGGAAGGAAGAAAGTTTGTCTACCCCCATCCCTCCATCCCTCTGGCCAGGGCTGAGAGAGGCCCAAGGAATGGAACGGAGCATTTGGTTAGTTGTATTAAACTCTTTCAGAGGCTCAAGTTTTCAAGGCCCGATGAATCCCTTTCGCCTCAGGCAGGACAAAGTGGGGATCCTGGAACACCCAGTCCCTGCAAGGGCTGGGGGTGGGTAGGTGGGCGGGGCGCGTTGAGAGCCAGGTCTGTAAATTTCCCAAACTAGTACCCAGAGAGCCCCTCTGAAACTAATAATGTCCCATAAAATCCCAACTTGTCCCCATCGCCTTTACTTCTTCTCCAGTGGATTGTCGCTGTTGTCTAATATCTTCTGTCAAGGGTACGGAAGAGAGGAAACGAGGGCCTTCGGTGTGAAGGTGGAGTTGGGGGGAGGGGGCAGGACCACCTTTTCTTTAATTATCCTGTTGGGCCTTTAGGGCTGCTCCCGCGACTGGGGCGCCCTCCCTTCCTCTCGCCCTTGTTCTCCCTTCCTCTCTCCCTTTCTCCCTCCCTCCTCGACCCGCCTGGGGAGAGGGCTCCACAGCTTGCGTCCCTCTCGAGGCAGCCCGCTGCTTTCCCTCCGCCTCCCCTCCGCCCCCGCCACCCCATGTCGAGAACTTCCCCCCCCTTCTTGCAAAGGGGGGGGGGGAAACGGGCGGCCGGCAGCTCTGGCTGAGGTTACGTGTCCGCCGGAGCCCTGACGTGATAGTACATTGCATCAGCATAAAACAATCCATCCTGGATATGGAATGCGGTGCGGACGGATGACAGCGAGAGCGCAGCCCCCTCGCCCGATTGATTTATGTCGGAGCTGACGCTTTATCAGGCAGTCGGAAAAACTTTGACCAATCATTTTGCAAGGAGTGCTGAGCCGGGCTGCTCCACTGTACTTTGTTGGCTGAGAAGTTGAGCCCGGGGTGGGGGTGGGGGGTCGGGGGGCCGGGGGTCGCGTCCGAAAGCCCTCACACCGGTCCCGGTGCCACCTCTCCCTGCTTGGGCGCCGCCGCGCGAGCGCTTCCCTTTCCCCTGCGAGCGCCCGGATAATGTCTGAGAATGTCCATTTCTGGGACGCTTAGCAGCTATTATGTCGACTCGATCATAAGTCACGAGAGTGAGGACGCGCCTCCAGCCAAGTTTCCTTCGGGCCAGTACGCGAGCCCTCGGCAGCCGGGCCACGCGGAGCACCTGGAGTTCCCCTCCTGCAGCTTCCAGCCCAAAGCGCCGGTGTTCGGCGCCTCCTGGGCGCCGCTGAGCCCGCACGCGTCCGGAAGCCTGCCGTCCGTCTACCACCCCTACATCCAGCCCCAGGGCGTCCCGCCGACCGAGAGCAGGTACCTCCGCACCTGGCTGGAGCCCGCGCCGCGCGGCGAGGCGGCCCCGGGGCAGGGCCAGGCGGCGGTGAAGGCGGAGCCGCTGCTGGGCGCGCCTGGGGAGCTGCTCAAACAGGGCACACCCGAGTACAGTTTGGAAACTTCGGCGGGCAGGGAGGCCGTCCTGTCTAATCAAAGACCCGGCTACGGGGACAATAAAATTTGCGAAGGAAGCGAGGACAAAGAGAGGCCGGATCAAAGTAAGTTATAAAAAGTGAGGAAATACCCAGGCCGAAGGCCAGGCGGGAGGAGGGGAGGGAAAGGCCATAAACTGCGGACAATGTGCAGGGCGACCGCGGCGGCCACCAGATTGCAAGTGGGGGAGGAGGGAAGAGGCAGGAAGGAAGGAAGGAAGGAAAGAAACAAGGAAGGAAGGAAGCCCCAAAAGAGTGCGGTCCTCTCGACTCCCAAAGTCGTGGAGGCAACGCGTCCTCTGCTCTCTCGCCCTCCCTCGCCCCTCTCTCGCGAAGGCCAGAGCTGAAAGTCTGGGAAGAAGAGGCCGCCGACCGCCGGCCGGGAGTGGAGCTGGCGGGGGCCGGGGCAAGGCCGAGAGCCCGTGCGGACCCGGGGGGTGGGGGAGAGCACGCGGGGCTGCCCCGGGCCGCGCGACTGGCAGCTCTCCCCGCGCCACGCGTAGACCGTAAAAGCCCGGCCAAGGGGGAGGGGGCTCATTAGGATTTTATTTGCGATGCAACAGCTTGGCGGAGGATTGTTCTCTACAGAGCTCGCGCACTAGCCGCGCGGGTCCGGAGCGGGTGCCGGGAGGGGCGGAGGAAACCCAGGATGCCTTGGCGGAGCCCCCTCCCCATGCGCCGGCCCCTCCCCGGGAGCTTCCCTCTGGTGGTCCCCTCCCCTCCCGGCATCTTCGCCCTGGGTTGCCGCAGCCTTTTCTGTGGCCCCTGCTGTTCTCCGCGGGGGGCTCCCTAGCTCCAGTCCGAGCTGTTCGTCTCGGGAGCACTTGGGCATCGCTTCTGAACTTCGAGCTGACCGCCCGAATGGAGAAGGCGCGATCCAGGAGGGACCCTAGGGAGTGAAGGGGTGAGGGGAAAGCAAGGCTTTGAGGAGAGGCGAAGAACTTTACCCTTCATCTATAGGTAGTTTCAGTCTCCTCCCAAAGCACCCTGGACAGGACCCCCGTCTGGCTAATTTCCAGGAGGTGGTCCTGCTGGGGGTGGGAGGATTCCTTTTTTCTTTTTAAGCTTGAGAAGGGCAAATCATTTAGGAGACTCTTACCCCAAACAATAACCCACAGACTGGTGGGGATCAGTCCTCCCTCCTTACTAGTCTTGAGGAGTGAGGCTCAGATATTTTAGTCTCCGCTTACCCTGCCAGATTTTCCATGAACACAGTGGCCCGACGATCCCTTGGGTTGCTCTTGCCTGTTGGAGAGTGGGAGAGCTGCCTGTCTCCCCTGAGGCCCCTGTGGGTTGCACCACCTCCAACCTGCCAGGTTGAATCACCAGCTGACGCCTCTTTTCAAACCTCACACCACTGGAACAGACCCTTCGCCCCAAACTCCAAACTGTGCCTGGAAAGCCCATTATTTTAAGGCAACCATTTGGCCAAGATCTATCATTAACAGTCTTTTCCCCCTCTTTCATATTTGATGTGGCTGTAGGTCCCATCCCAGGCAATCATATTAAGAAACTAGTGCTGCGAATTGGTAAAACACAGAACTTAGTGTAGGATGAACCAGATCATTATTTTTATTATATTAATTCAGTGCTTCCCTTTTGGGAAGAAAGTAGCTAGCAGAGGATGGTTATTATAAATTGACTTAGATTTTAATTGGAGAATTTTCCAAGTTTCAGGGAGGAGAGAAGCTGATATAGATTTCTGCTTTCTCTTTTTTTCCACTCCTCTTTATTCAATTACCCCGGTCTCTGCTCTCCCACTCGGGACCAGTTACCCCATGTCATCCCTGGCTCCTCACCGTAGGACGGGAGCAATCTTACTCCCCAATTTCCCTGAATTGGTTTTAACCAAACTGCAAGCTGAGCAGAAGCAGAAATGGAAGACTATTGGAACCATAAGTTATCTGTGAGCCCCCAGCGCTTCCCTGTCCATAGACTGGAGTTGATAAATGGTTGCAATCCGGCTTGCATGTGAATTGGAGTGTGCTGGATGTTTGCTTCTGTAAATGCAGACCCATATATGGGGGGCGGGGGATGTGGTGGTGGTGGCCAGGGATATCTATACAGACATACATGCTTACTGCCATGTGGTCAAGGGAAGCAAGCTTGCTCTTAAGGCAGGGTTGTATCCAGACTGGAGGGCTAGGAGGTCTCTTGACCCTTTAGGTCAGCCACCCCCGCTAACCTGTCTAGTGATACTAGTTGTGAGGCTTCCTGCTGGCTCTGAGCTGTGTCCTAACCAGCTGTAATCCAAGCAGAGAAAGATTGAGAGAGAATTTGAGGCAGGCTAGGCTTTGGTGGTGCCTAGGAACCCTGGGCACACCACTTGGCTCCATCTTTTCCCCAAAGCCTCTCACCTACAGATGTCTATGGCAACTGTTGGTCTATGTCTGGGATCCTTTCTGGGAGCTTGAAGGCCCAGCTGCCCCTTTCTCCAACTTGAGATTGGGAGTGGAGACCAAGGGTGCATCCTTTTGGCAGTACAACATTAAGGGCCTGTCATCCGCCACCCCCCACCCCCCTTTCCTTTCTTTGATTCTATTGCTGCTTCTCTTTCAGCCAACCCCTCTGCCAACTGGCTGCACGCTCGCTCTTCCCGGAAAAAGCGCTGTCCCTACACCAAATACCAGACGCTGGAACTAGAGAAGGAATTTCTGTTCAATATGTACCTCACCAGGGACCGTAGGCACGAAGTGGCCAGACTCCTCAATCTGAGTGAGAGACAAGTCAAAATCTGGTTTCAGAACCGACGGATGAAAATGAAGAAAATGAATAAGGAACAGGGCAAAGAGTAAAGACCCTTCTTCAGCTCTCCCATCCCTTCCCCATCTCACTCTTATTTATAAGTGATGGTTGCAAAGCCAGTGCTGTCTGAGATATAGTCAAGTGAATGGGGAAGGGAGTCTTTCTCTTGAAAGTTCTTTTCTGCACCCAGAGTTTCTCTCCTTTCCTTTGCTCTCACTTGTTTCTCTCTTTTCCCCTGGCCTCAAGAGGAAGTTTTGTTGAGTTAGAAGGTAGAAGTAGTAGGTTACTAAGAAGATGATGGGCCACAAGGAAAGAGAGGCCCTAGTCAAGCCCTTAGCAGCCCCTGACTTTTATGGAGAACCTCAGTCCCTCATTTCCTGCCTGCCTTTCCCTTCCTGAACCAATCCAAAAGTCATCCAGGGACACGCCAACTGCACCCAGCCCAACAGATAGATACCTGCACACACAAAGCCTGAAGCTTACAGAAATAGCAGGCAATGCATACAACCAATACTTTACTCAAACGAAGTGACACCCCAAGTGTACACGGTCACACCCCAAGCCAGGCACACCCCAAACCTGACAGAATAGTCTGAAGACCACCAGGCAAGCCAGGGTTCTACCCTTGGTGCAAATGCACATTTGGAAGATGTCTAGAGACATGCTCCTGAATGGGGTGTTGCAGCCCAAAGGACTTAGCATCACCTCCAGGGAACCTCTAGCTACCCCCCAGGGGCAAAAGCCCACAGGCAGGTGGGACAACCCCAGCCCTCAAATCAGGTGGACAAGAAAAGACCAGGAAAGACAGGAGGGGGGCTCTCCCTCCAACGCACATCTTTGCAGGAAATGTTTAATTCTGCATGACGTTTCCCCTCTCCTTCCAACAAAAGGAGGTCACACTGTGTGTAGGGTCTTAGGACCTTGACCATGTCGTCCTCTAGCTCATCCATGCCCCACTTGACAAAGATGGTAGCTTTTGATGCTCTCCACCGGCCCTGCTATCTTTTGCATCCTTCCCAACTCCAAATTCACTCTGTGCGGCCAAATCCACCTAGCACCAGCCAGTCAAGCGACCCCTTGTAGAAAACCCCCTTCACTCTCCAACCCCTCTAGCTCAATCCCTCTGTAGGCAGGAAGGCCAGGTCAGCAGAGTTCGATTGAGAATTGATTGTGAATCGATTCTGAGCGCCCTTTCTGGGGAAGTTGTCAGGAACAGAGAGGAGTAGAGGCGCCAGGGCTAGGAGCTTGGTGCGTTCCTCCCCTTCATACCCGCGTCGCGACTCACGCGGAGGTGTCCGGGGCTTGGCTGCTGCCTGCCCCAGCGCAAAAAGGGACCGTTCCCAACGCTGGACTTTACCTCCTGTGACACTGGCCTGGATGGTGACTTGAGAGGCTAGTGAGCGCGCTCCCTCCGGGGGAACGTTCCCGCGTGCAAAGGAAAGAGGCGGAATGGAAGCTAAACCTCAGGCTGAAGTTTACTCTGTTTCCCTTCCTTCCCCTATTTCCCCATCTTTCCAGTCCTCTCCAATTCCATGGACTCTTGCTCCTGCTTCTCCAGGCATTTCAGTAGAACTTTTTGCTTTGTTGGTGGCTGTTGTGAAATTGTGCTTGTGTTTTGTGATTTCTTTGGGGGTGATTGTCTGGCCTGTTTTCAGTTGTCACTTATTTGGGAGGGTTGTGGGTGGGGGTGGGTAGGGTGAGGGACTTAGAGCCTCTGATTGTTCGTTTTGGAAGAAAAAAGAAAAAGAACAAAAATATATATCACTATAGAAAATAAATCTCTCCTCGTGTCTTATTCTGTGTTGGCTCCCCCCACCTGGCCTAGGTGGAGATCTTGATTGCCAAGGGGGCAACCTCTTTAGTGCTGTCAAGGGTGGGGTGGGGGTGGTGTCAGTGAGGTAGTTCTGAGAACCTTAGTACCAGAGCAACAGGACAACTGGGAAACTGGAGGTGCAAGGAAAGAATGTGCTTCGGTTTGGAGCAGAGTCTGAGTTTCTCCAGAGCCATTGCTCAGGGTCTTCCCCCAAAGTTGGGCTGGAGACTTCCCCACCAGCTCCAGAGCTGAGTAAGGGACCTGCTCCCGCTCTGGGTAGCAGTTCCTCTCTCAACCTTCAGTCGGCTGAGAATGTCCCTCTGCCTTGGTCACTTTAAAATGCCAGGCAAGTTAGCAAGCAAAATAGCAACTTCCCTCTACTCTTAGTGGCTGTGAGGAGGCTGAGTTAGAGATTGAAAGGGAGTGAACCCCATAGGGTTCTCAGTCCCCAAATTGGGATTAAAGGCTCCCATTTGAGACTTGGTCTGAAGCGGGTTGGTTTGGTAGGGATTGAAGCTTGGGGAGGCAGTTCCCAAACGCTGGGAGAGGAGACTGTTTGGGGAACAGAAATGTCTCAAGAGGAGACCTCTTTTTTAATTGGACCCCAGAACTAAACTCAATTTCCAGGGGCACTTTCATGTCCCTCATAGTCTGCGTGTCCCTGCCAGAGCCCCTCGCGGAGACGGCGGCCCCTCAGCAGCCCTGCTTTTCTCACCCAGGCTTGGGAAACCGGCCTCTGCCTGACTCTCGCGCTCCGGAGCCGTCCTTCCCTCCCCGAACCTCCCAGCCCACAAACCCCAGTGACACCACAGCCCGAGGAGACCCGGTCAGTTGGCTAGAAGTGGGGACAAAGCATAATCCAAGAGAGAAAACCTTAGAATTGAAAAAGCAAGGCCTACCCCTCTCGAACGAAAGGATGCCTTGTACAGAAAGAGCGCAGGAAGCAGGAGAAAGCGAATCTCCAAGGTCCAGGGAGAGTTCCATCAGGGACATCAAATGAATCCCGCATTTAGCGGTTGTGCTGCGCATTGACTGGCGCTGAGAGTGGGCAGAGAAGGCCAGATTTCGCCAATGGGAAACGCAAAAAGCAAGGCTGGAACCCGACACAGCGCTGTAGGGTAGAGGGCGAAAGCGCCCGCAGGGGTCTCCGGCGGCGGCGGTGTCTGGTCCAGAGCCCGGGGTGGCTTCTTTAAGGACAAACAAAAGCGAAGATGTGGAGGCTCTGAAGCCGGAGATGTGGAAATCAGTTGTCATAAAAGAGAAATTCAGAGAGGAGAGACCGTGAGAGCTCGAGACAGAAACCGGGAGACGAATTCAATGCCGTGTGCGCAGCAATAAAAGAATATGACCGCTATAAAAGTTTATAGCGTATAAATTTCTGAAGGTTAAGACACTAAACAGTGAGAGGGGAAACTTTCCGGAGCTGAGAGCCAGCCGCAGCTGGGACTGGGTGGGCCTTGCAGCCCCCACCCTCACCCGCCAGGATGAGGGGCTTGGGGCTTCCGGGGAGGCCCCAGGGAGCAAAAGGGGGAGAAGAGGGAAGGGGGAGAGGGAAGACACTTTATTGTTGCAAATGCTTCAGAGACCACAATTGGGACTCCTGTCTTTGTTCTTCACACCCCCTACAGAATTGGGCGTCATAAACAAGAAGCCGCCCTCCCCGCGTACGCGCGCGCACACCCCCCCCACACCCCCCCCCACACCACTACAAACACACACACAGGTCCGACCGGGCCAGACGTCTGGGCGCGGGCCCCTCTCTTGATCCTTTTACAGGCCGATCCCACCCTCTCCCCCCCCAACCAAAAGTCCAATTGTTTCTCCTCGAAATTTGAAACAATCGTGTTTGAAAAATGCTCGTTTCTCCCCTTTTACGGGCCATAAACGGCGCGCTGCTTGGCGGTCTCAGCCACAAATTAGGGCATTGTGGGGTGGGAGCCTAATATTGAAAGAAAAAAGCTTATAGCTTCTTTTTTCCTCCCCACCTCTCCCCGCATTTTTTGTTTCCTTTTAAAAAAGCTTATCTGCAAAATGTCATGAACCGTTTCTTGATACCGATGCCTTTTCTCGCGTCCGCTCCGTTTTCCTCTCCCTTTTCAGCTAATAATGAAAGTTTCTCTTGTTAGTCACCACCAACTCTAGAGCTCTCCGAGAACCTAACAGAGCCGGTGGCAGTGTCGTGTTTTCTCAAGGATGCCGCTAGATGGCAGCCTTGCTCTACGTGAAAATCTCCCGGTACCGCGGCTGCGGGCGCCCACGGCTGCACACCGCACCTTAGTCGGCCTGGAATCTCTGAACTGCGCGTTAACAAAAGTCATGAATAATTTGCGAGTAATAAAAATATAGGGTTCATTATGACCATTTCCCCCATTTTATAGATTTCAATATAGTAGTGTTCACCCCTCCCCCCGCTTCTCAAACGGTCAGTTTTCAAGAATTTCCCAGCGAGGAGAGCTCAAGGCTCATCCAGTCGCCGCGTTCGTTTGGGCAACAAATGCATGAAAACGGAGACGCCTAATAATCATAGAAATAATGGATCCAAATAAAAGAGGAGAATGGATTCAGAAAGAATGAAATTTTCCAGGGCGGGGGCGAGAGGAATGCTCAAGGCTGCGGGTGAGCAGGTCAGGTGAGCTGGGTAAGCGGGCCGAAGGTTAGAGGGAAAGGAAGCTGCCCGGCTCTGCTGCTGGGACCGGCCAGAGGGGGCAACCGGAAAAACCAGCCTGCTCCCCACCCCCGCCCCCCGTTTTAGGGCTTTTTAAAGTTATTGTTGTTGATATTTTGCAGATTCGGAGTTAGCTGGCTGGGAGCTCCGCACGGGGCGGAGGATGCAGAGCCTTTGTACGCGTCTGTCTGGGAGCCTAGCAGGGCGCGCGCCGGGCTAACCCTGCGCCAAACCCTGAGCGGGACCAGGGTGGGCCAGAGCGGTGAGGTGCGGTGCGGGAAGGCTCGGATATCTCCTAGAGATGCTCTGGGCGCCCTTAGTTGGGCCACCCCCTAAATCCGCATTTTCCTGATGGGTGTGGGAGCGGGCGTAGCAGTAAGAAGCAGAAACTCTCCCCTTCCCGCGTTCCGAGGTTTCCAGGTGAGAGCTCCAGCTCCGTGAACCCGGGGGCCCTGACCCTGGGCCCTAGGCAGACCTGGACGGTGCGGGTTCTTTGGTAACTTGGCAGTGGAGGCTTGGACTCCCGGTACGTTTCGCTCCTAGATCCCGTGCTCTGTTCTTGCTATTTGGAATCTCCCATTTCTTCCCGGTTCAACCCAATACTTGCCCCCCCCCCCAATTCGGATAAACCTGTGCGGAAAAATACTCTCGCCCCTCCTCCCCCCACACACACACTCAAAATCACCCCAATTGCAGCCTCTCTCTTCCCCCAGGACCGAATACAAAGATGCAAGTGGAGTTTCTCCTCAACTTGAGTTTCT